TGACAAATATCCTGTCAGCATATTCAAGTCCACGATTCTTTGACTTCTGTGACAACAACCTCTAAAACCTGCTTCTTAATACTTATGGTAATAAAATGGATCAACTTTTATTGGGTGAATTCACATTCTTTGGTTGTAAAACCGTTCTACTCTGCCTTTGAACTCGTGTCATCCCCAACTCCAATCTCTCTGCTCAAGTCCAATGTCCCCTGCATCTTATCAGCCAGTCACCTTTGTCCATGTCCATGTTTTCATAGACTCCTGGAAATTAAATGAAAGTGCCAACAAAATCAATAAAGCAGCGAAGAAAACCAACATCTCTCATTATTTTTAACACCCCTTTTCAATCAAATAGCTCTGCACAGAATATATTAACACAATAATGGAGCTGCTTTAGAAGTTACAACCTCCTATAACTGATTACAACTCATAATCAGTCGATACTATACGTTAGCCTCTACCTGAAAAGACAGGAAGAGTTCGTATCTTACGCGTCAACTAGTCAAACCTGCTCCTCCATGATGAACAATCGTATAATTAAACTAGATTTGTAACAACACCATGCTTATTGTAAGACAAGCCGGTGGAAATGTAACTACTGCTTATTATTTAGCAACTAGAACTGAAACATAATTATTCAACTAGTCCATCTGTTCACCAGCAATCATTTAGATGGTTGATTACTAAGTTCATTCAGAGCTGAACCCAAAATGTTCTGGTTCCAGCTCCTCGTGTGAGAATATTAGTTCCTTTGTCTTCTTTGATTATTAGCTGAGTACCTGTAGGTTCTGGACTACTGGTGGGACAAAAGACGACATTTTATTATGTAAACTTACATAAATACTATTGTCCACTTGTTACAACTTTCTTACATGTTATAGACCAAAAAAATTAGCTGATTAATAAAAAATGTGTTTCGAATGTATTTGAATAGTCTACCTACAGACCATGAGTGTATTTGTAACATTTTAACAGCCTATTAGTTGCGACTGTTTCACAAACACATGGTTTAGTTTGGGTTAGATTATGTTCATGAATTGTCACATATACACTAGATAATCTGTTAAACATCTCCAAGTTATACGCTATCTGTAGGCGAATATACACATTTTTAGTTGCAGTCCTATTAGAAACACCGTCAGGACATTACAAAGCCTGAAAAACTGTCGGTGGGGTCCGGGGTGACTGTGAGAAAGTTGTGTACGTAAATGCCTCCCAGTCAGAAAACCAAACGTCAGTGTACAAATACAGTCAGCATGAGTGAGTGGGAAGTGTTCCTTTCTCAAAGTCTCAGGGCACCAACGGATGTAACTCTCACCGGTGAAGCAAAAATGGACAACCGCGCTCAGCAACAACTTGGTGCGAAAGCAAAGAGTCAGTGCTTTCAGGAGTCACAGTCTCCAACGTGAATCAAAGTTCCCACCAACACAGTGGAGGAAGAGGAAGGAAGGACATTCAGAGCTTAAGGCCTCGCAGCAGAGAGCAGACCCACCCAGATGTTTTCACTTCTTCTGTCCACAGACCTCTGCTCAGGTTAACACTGGGTGGTGCTGGGAAACATGTAAGGTCACCAAACTAGTGAATATGATTAAAAAAAAAAAAAGATGTACCACAAGTCAATCCCATCACACTGACAAACAGGTGCAACAGTATCAAGTATACAAGACCACACTGAGGACTAATCTGCTAAACAAGTCAAAGCACCTGTGTGGGTGGACCAGGGATAGTTAGTGGCTTTATTTCGACACACACACACACTTAGTAAGATTCAAGATGTCACAGCATGGCAGGCTTTAAGTTAAATTAACCCATTTAAAAGCTAGCCTCGGTGCTCAGCGTTAGTTGCCCAGTTATCTTAACTAACTCTTCACGTTACGACCATTAGCGGTATTTCGCAATCGTGTTATGTAAGTGAACACCTGACGGAGCGAAATGCAACTTAAAAGCACATTTAACTAGTTTCCCCACACTGCTGTGCTGTGGATGTTTTCACCGCACACTCGCTGCTAACATTAGCCAAGTTAGTTAGTTAGTTAACCAGCCTTAATATCAGATAACAAATGGAAAACAAATGTCGGTAGCAAGCTACAAGTTCGGCTTGTGAACATCAGCTACTGTTAACAATATCTGAATGTAGCGATCGTTAAAACGCCGGCTTTTAAACATCGTAAGTAAAATAAAATAAAAAACCTTACAACTGGATGTTTAGGTGAGATTAGCTTCATAGTCAACCCAAACAAGGCCAGTGTCGTTAGCCTGACAGCCTTCACTCGACTGCAACTCCCTTTTTAACAAGTTCAACTCAGCTGGCTTACCTAACTTCACATTACGGACACCGTTTGAAAATGCCATAAAGAAAGTAAAACAGCTCGACTTGCCCAGAGACTTCACGAGTTTGCGACTACTTGCTAGTCAAAGGCCACTCCGTCCGCCCGGTCGTGGCTGCTGACAGCAGAAGCTAACATGTTAGCTCACTAGCCAGCGTAGTTAAATATCATGTGATTGCAGCGGCCTCTGGGGACTGAGACTGAGACTGAGACTAAGACTGAGGCAGAGACTGCGACTGAGACTGAGACTGAGACTGAGACTGAGACTG